GTACTAAAAATTTGAGAAGATTTTGATATTACCCATTGGAAATATGTAGACTCTAATAATAATCGAGCAGATATAGCTTCGAGAGGTACAAACATTGAAAATTTACAAAATTGTAAACATTGGTTCAAAGGACCATCATTCCTACATAATAAACCTAATGATTCGCCAAAATTTGATCTAGCAATTAAACCTAGAAATATTAAAGAAGAAATGTTAACTAACTTTGTTGCTAATGCCACTTCTTATAATTTAATTATGATTGACATTATAAAACTTAATAATTTTACCTTTTTATTATGAAATACAACTTTAGTACTGCAATTTATTAAAAACGTCTAGAAAAAGAAATCGAAAGAAAGTTTAAAATTATTTTCATTAGATTCCTCAGAGATTGACCAAGCATTAAAAATTTGGATTCTATATACCCAACAAATTGTCACCAGTATAAAGAACTATAAACAAATTTAATGTGATTTAAAGCGTATAATGGTATTATACGCTGCTATGGGCATCGAGAAAATGCAACAATCCCATCGGATATAAAGTACCCTATATTTTTGCGACGAGATTCTGAATTTACTGATCTAGTTAATTACTACCATCACACGATAGTCATGTACAATGGTGTAAAGGAAAAATTAAACCAACTACGCAGTATGTTTTGGGTACCAAAAGCAAGAAATTATATCAAGAAGCTTATTCGAAAATGTCACTTAAGCAAACGATTTGAAGGACTGCCTTACTCTTACCCCAAAGCACCCCTTTACCCTTAAGCTGAAAAATAATGACCACGCATTTAAATTAACGGGTGTGGACTATGCAGGCCTTTTATACATTAAAAATATATATGAAAGTACGCTTTGTTTAAAACTTGGATTTTTTATATACCTGTTGTACTACACGCTCTTTTGTTTTTAGATTTAGTTACTGATTCATCTGCTGAATCTTGTGTTTGTAGTTTACGACGGTTCATAGCAAAGCGAGGAGCACATGTGGAAATCATTTCTGACAACGGCTTACATTTTATCTCAAAAATCACTCAAGAGTTTATATCATCTCGTAAAATATCATGGCATTTCAACCCTCCTGCTGCTCCGTGGTGGGGAGGATTCTTTGAAAGACTTGTTGCTTCGACATAAAACAAAAAAATGATTGACGCGTCGTTTTGTAATTAAAATGACATTGAAATCTTTGTAAATAATTAGTTGACAGGGAAATGATGCGCGCGAACGTGCACGTGTTTAAAACTTTACCGTTCTTATTTGAAATAGTATTTTATTCACGTGGTTCTGTTCATGAGTTAACAAGCTGCCTTTTAAAAAACATATAATACTTGTTGTTAGAATATAAAATATATTTAACCAAATACGAGACTCATCATTTTAAAATAATAACTGATTGCAACGTATCTAAGCAGATACAACAATATGTGAGGTGGCTATAAATTAGACTAAAGTAATGTTTTTTTTTCTTGAACAGAAATCAAGAAGTGGGTGACATTTATATAAAATCCCTATTGCAGATAATATTTTTGAATCAATGTGTCCAATATAATTTCTCAATGATAATTTTTAATCAATATGAACACCAAGAATCTTTCCATTTTTCCCGTTTTATTGTTATGTTGTAATTGAGCAAATCTAGAATTTTTAACGATGAAGACATGAAGATTGACCTGTTTTATGGTATAAGATGTAGTTTGTTTTTTCACAGTGTATGTTATATTACCTTTTTATGCATTTCTATCATACATTTAAAATAAAATTATTTAACTATTAACAGATAAAATAATTTATTTAAGCTTATGTTCTCATTACATATTATAAACTTTTAAAAGGATTTTCAATTTTTCTTTTCTAACTATAAATAGCTCCCAGCTCGCACACATACGTTGTTAAAACAATAGAATAATGACGTACGTTTCGTTGGCCCAACATCGGCTGCCAACGTTGTTTTTATATCATAATGGTTAAAAATGCGACGTCGCCAACAACTAAAAACCAATGTTGATAAAACGTTTTACTAAAGTAAGAAAATAGCTATATTTTTTACGTTGATTTAACGTTTTATTATTTCATACGTTGGCCCAACGTTGTATTTTTAGTTAGCAAAATGTTGTATTTTACGTTGTTTCACCGTTGTATTTACGTTGATTCAGCGTTGAACTTTGATTGTATTCAATTTTATTTAGAATTAAATTATATATATATATATATATATATATATATATATATATATATATATATATATATATATATATGTGTGTGTGTGTGTGTATATGCATATATATATATATATATATATATATATATATATATATATATATATATATATATATATATATATATATATATATATATATATATATATATATATATATATATATATATATATATATATGTGTGTGTGTGTGTATATGCATATATGTATGTATCTATATAGGTATTTATATATATAGATGTCATTCGTTGAACAACGCTTGATCATCAAAACAAAAATCATGTTTGTGTTTGTGCAAAACTAACGTTGATCCAATGATCAACGTTGGTTTTGCATTGGAAAAAAGAGCCAACGTTTGCGATGGTTTTACATACGTTGGGCCAATGTAAGTGTGCTAGCTGGACTGTGACGACATTTTATAAAATATAATTGTAAATAAAATCTTTAAATAAAAAAAAAAGAAAAACAAAACAACGGCAGTCATTTAGGAAGATATACCCAGTAAACACACAAACGTCTATTAAACGTCAAAACAACTTTTTGACAAAACATTCAGAATTGGTTAGTTATTCAGTTAAAATAAAATCCCGATTAACGTTTAGAACAAATGTCCATAAAACGTCTAGATTCAAATGTATTTTAGTCGTTTATTATAGGATTATTATACGCGTATGAATTTTTGTTTTTAATTTTGTTTGCTTTACCTTTAAATCTAGCCTCATTATTTTATACAAAGGGATTAGATTTAGTCTAAGTACGCGAATAATTAACTTCTATATCTTGTCTAATAGTTCCTTTTTATTTAGTTAGCGGAATTTCAATTTATTTAAGTTTTAAAAATTATAAAAATAAAAATCAAGTTAAATATTTTTAACTTTTTACAAGTAATAAGAGCTGTATAGGTCTTGAAACTTATAAACAAAATGCAGTTATAAAAGTAATGTAATTTTTAAATAATAAATATAGTTATAAAAGACCTGGTTTTTAATTCTTTTACAAACTTTTAACCTATACTACTTATACTATACTTTTATACAATAAAAATTATATATATAGTTATAAACATATATTTAACGTTTTCATATTGTTGGGATTTAAAAAAAAAAAATGTATAATAATTAAAAACATTTAAATGATCAAGCTTTTTGATGAAGAAATTTTATATTAACAATTTCTATCAAATATTTTTTGAATTCAATCTTATTAGTAGAAAATAACAGTTAATGATAAATAAAATTAATAAACTCATAAGCAAATATTTTTTCACTATTTTCTATGGTCATGCATTATAAAAAATTTTCAGAGAATACCCTCTACCGCTTTTAATCTTGCATTTGTTTGTACAACATCATCTTCTATATTTGCATTCTAATCGTGTGATTTTGTAAACTGATTTGTAACTGCAAAAAACTAAGGTTAAATAGTTAGCATTTTAAATGCACATTCATAAATCAATATTGGTTTTACACAGAGCAACTTTACGTATAGAGAATTTTCTGAATGAAGTTTCCAAAATTTCCTGTAAAATTTCCATCCGTGTTTATTTTTGACTTTAAAGAATTAGTAACATCACGGTAAAACATATGCAATGGTTTTTACAAGCTCTGTTCATTCAATTTTCTTTAATAAATGTAATTGAATTAAATGCATCTAAAGCAATAAATTACAAATTGGTTATTAAACCTCTTGATTATTGCAAAGATGAAGTCGTTTACAAAATAAATATAAATTGTTGATGAAAAAGAAAAAAGTTTTCCCAGCAGGACTTTTATAAAAAGAGACCATTAACTCATATTTTTCAACTGCGTCAATGTGGCAGTCAATAATTTCTAAAACATTAGAGTCCATTGATTTGATGGCATTTAGTAAGGTAGATTATTGCGATTGAGCTTTTCAACTTCAATGAATTAAAACAGCGCACCTGATACTTGTTTATTCTTTATTTATCAGTCGTTTTTCTTTCAGTTGTTGTAGGGAAGTGAATCTTGGAAACGCATTTAAGTTTTATTTAATTATTTAGCCAATAAAAACTAATGGTTTAATACGTTTTTTATTTTGTATTTATTTTCTTTAATTTATTATTTTATTTTCTTTTGTATTTATTACTCTTTAAACCACGTTGCTTTAGTTATTATAAGAGTCTTCTGACCGATAGCCGTATAACTATATTGTAATATGATAAACGTTTATTAAACGTTGATCAAACGTTTAGAACTACAATTTAAATTAGTCAATATTGTACACGTTTGATCAACGTTTAATAAACGTATTTATTAAAAGATTTAAATCTTAGATTTTTAATCTATAAATGTTTACGTTTAATTAAAGTTGATTAAAATTTTAAAATGTTGACTAATGTAAGTCGATACTCTAAATGTTATACCAACGTTTAGTAAAGGTATATACATAAAAAATAACTTGAAATATACATTTTAAATCAAAGGTCGATATTCAGTCAATAATTGGTTGCTAAGTGTTTTTTCCATTCGACTTATTCTGTGTTTACTAGGTAATTTAAAAAAAGTTTATTGACTTTTTATTAAACATTATACTAAACAGTTATACTTTTTTTGTTTTATAAAAATATTCATGTTTTAAATAGTATATTTTATAAAGATAAAGTTTATCATTAAATAAATTCTATAAAAATCTCTTACTTAAACAAGTAGATTAAACGAATATATAAAAGCAATATATAAAACAAAGCGTGCTGCTTGCCAAAAGCAGCATGCTTGGTTTGCCAAACTTTTTTTAAATGAAAACAAAACAAATATATTTACCCATCCACTCATTTCTTCCAAATACATAAATTTGATCTTGATTTCCTTCTAAATTTACCATCATATTTTTATCAAGACTGATGGATAATTTCTGAAATTGTTGATTGGTAAGAGCAAGCCACTTTTTGTAAACCAAATCAAAATATAGATACAATTTTTGATTTCGATGAATTGCATATAGTTCATTAGTTACTAAATGATGCCCTAAAACGCATCCAACACGAATATCCAAACCTATAAGGAGAAAAAAGCTGTCGTTTAAATTAACTTGTCGAATAAAATTCAGTTAGTCAATTAGAAATAGTCGATCAAATGGTATATTAACTTTTTTAACTTAACTTAAAAACCGTTTATATGCAATTAAAGATATTTTTACAAATATGTTTTTTTTTATGTCTGCAGTTGTTAAACCAACCCAATTTATCTTGCTAGACTTTATAGAATATTTAATGTAACAACAAAGTATCACAAAATTAGTAATTTTTATGCATACTTATGTACAAAATATATATACAAATAAAAAAACTGTTTATCAGAAGTGAAAGCCACACAACTTGTAAAGGTTTACATTCACTAATTAAATTACAAGACTAATGTGGATTGCTCTACTAAAAAATTGTAAAAAAAAAAAAAAATGTTTGTGTTTTTGTGAAAAATAATTAAATTGCCTAAAGTCAAACTATTTTCGTAAACTTTATTTTTTTTTATATCTAATTTTAATACTTTAATCCAAAACGTTTAAAAACAATAATTAGTCAGAATTATTGTTTTTAAACGTATATATATATATATATATATATATATATATATATATATATATATATATATATATATATATATATATATATATATATATATATATATATATATATATATATATATATATATGTTCGTATTTATTTAATAACCAAATAATATAAAACAATAATAACCTTAACCTAAATTCTTCTGATAAAAACATACATAACTCAGTTGTAACCATTATTACCTCTAAATTATAAGTATTTTAACTGTACTTTTGTCACAATACAAATTTTAATATATTAATAGTTACTTACCAGCCATAAAATCACCAGTATTATTTGAATAATAGCACGCAGTTTGCAAACTAATTAAAAAAACAAAGTAATATATAAATCTTAGTTAACTATTAAACAAATATAATTTTATAAAAATAAAGTTTTTAATTTTTATTAAACACCAAAACATTTTTAAATTACTATTTTTTGTTTAATTTTAGTAAATACAAACAATTCAATAATTTCAGGGAGCATTGCCTTGGAAATAAACATGAAGTTGAATAAATGTCTTATCTTTAAATAAGCTTGTGTTTTCATTAAATAAAGTTAAAAGATAATATATATAATTCTATAGTATTAATAAAGAAACTCATAAATGACAAAAGTTTACCTTCCAACATGTTGGTTCATACATATGTACAAATATGTTTTACCAGCTGTAACAAGAATTCCACGCCCATAATATTCTATATAAAAAGTAACATTTTTTTTTAGTTTTAATACCACGACTTTAGAAAAAATTTTTTATAAATAAATAAAACTTAAAAAAAGTGATCAAAAATAATTCCGTCGCATCCCTAGGAGTTAAGCGCTCAAATTGTTTTTCCATATGGTGGTTTTTTCTATCAAAGTTCGCTTTAAGGATTTAAAGAGTTGTGTGAGGTCTCTAATAAAAATTATAATTTAGCTAAAAGTACCATTATCTTCATCATCATTAATTGTTATTATCTCACATTATTTTCATCATCAACAAAGTTCATTCAAGCTATAATTCAGATATAGCTAACACAAAAGGTTCGAGTACGTTTAACAAATGTTGCAAATGTTCAAACACGTTCTTTAAACATTCTGTAAAAGTTTATGAAAACATATTTTGTTCTAATATTCTCGAAAGTATTTATAAATTAGCCAATAATTCTTATAATAGTCAACTTTGTATAAATATAAAATTTTCCTAACTACGTTAAATTTATAACTTTCCTTTGATAAACAACAATTTTTATAATAGGACGCATGTTTTTATATTATACGAATGATTTACTCCGTTAATAGAAGCTCATAGCCAATTTATGAGGTTGTCACAAAGAGGAGAAACCAGATAAAATTGTTTTTTTTTTTTTGTTAGGGGGCTATTTTGGTTTTGTTTTTAGGGTTGTATTTAAAGTTAAAACTTTTGCAATCATTTATTTTCAGGACATCGTCGTATTCTGCAATTGACGAGTTAAATATTTTTTTGTCAGAAGAATTTTGAGATAACCTATTGTTAATAACTATTAGAATTTCCTTAATAAATTGTGGGAGTTGATGTGGACATGATGGAGTTTTCTTTCGGTTTTTTGGATAGATGAATAAAACCTTTTTCCAAATTAAAAGTTATGCCTAGGATGTTTGCGGTTGATCGGTTTGTCCAAATTTCTGTTCGATAGGTTTGTTCAAATTTCAATTTTGATTTTTTTAAAAAGTTATTATATATTATTTCTATCAGTCGGACTATCAGTCCGTTGTCTCGGTAATGGCCGATACCGCTTTGGTAACAGGTTCCAATAACGAATTTAATAGATACAGATATACTAGCTTGGAAACCTTGGCTCCATTAAAACAGCCCACTGCGGTGTTGAAGCAGTCGATAGTTAATTTTTTTTGTGTTTTCGTAATTGACTTTGTGGTCTTTCTATGTAATAAAAGCTGATTTGGCAAATATTTTAAATTTATAAGATTATCCTAATATTGTTGCTTTGCCTTTTTCTTCAATGGTTATGGCATTTTATTTTCAAGTTTTAATGGAGTTTTCTTATATAATTTTTAAATATTTTCTTTCAGTAGTTTTGCGTGGTCTTTGAGGGGTACCTGATAAATATTGCTAGTTTTGTCTGCCACTGTGATATTATGTAAAATGTCTGCCAATATGATATTGTGTAAAAATATATTGTGATTTGATTTTATGCTCGATGCGGCGTTCTAATTTTTTTTTTTTTTTTTTTTTATGTATTATGTACAATTTATAAACATGATTATCAATCATACTTGTTGACTAATACAAATAATATAATTTCTGACTTGTTAGATTCTGATGCTTCTGATAAAAGCAGTTTTCCATTTAGAAATTGATTACAAGCATGGCATCCAACGTGTTTGTTTGGAATAAATAAAAATTCATTGCGGCATTTTTATGAATCATACCAGAGTTTTAAATAATTATATCTCCATACATTATAAATTTTATTAGCCTTTTTAGTGTCTATCTTAGTGGTTGTATAAAAAATAATTTAGTTTAATTTAGATTTGACAGTTTATAACAGTTTTAGTCATTGATAAATGGCACATATAAGTCATTCATAAATATAACTAGTTTGTTTATAAAATCCACATAAAGCTTATTTTTTTAACAAAACATTTTTTTTTTAATTTTAATTAAAAAAAAATAAAGTAATAGAAAAAAGTAATTTTGTTTATGATGAAGTAATAACTTATGGGATTTTAAATTAGGCAGGTGTATATCTTTTATGTGTTTAGTGGTTATATCTTTACTTTTAAAATTGAACATCACTTACTTATTTTTTGTGTTATTGTTGTTGTTTTGTACGGAGATTTAATTTAAATTAATGTAAATTGTTTTAGTGCCCAAAAAATACTAAGCAATAATAATTAATTACTTTTTTATTGCAAGGTGCTTTACTTTTCTGTATGAACTTTTATTATTGTAATAAACTCAGCTATTTCTGAGCCTTTTAGATTAATTCATTGGCTTTCAAATAAGCTTGATATAATGTAATGTATATGGTGAATTAAGTATTGTACTATACGGTGAATAGGTAAAAATAATCTTTATTTAAGTCCGTATTAGGCATTTGCTGAACAAATAATTTTTATGTAACTTAAAAAAGGCATTATATTATGGAAAATCAAGCAAATGTAAACTTGAACAAAAAGTGCGATTAAACCTATACATTTTTTCGTTTAAAAACTTTTTGAACAAAGTTAAAAACAAAAAATAAAATATAAAAACGTTGTGTTAACCGCGTTTTTATTGCGTATTTGAAGAGGAAGTTCAAGAGCTATTTAAAGTTTGTTTGGAGTAAACGCTAAGGAAACATTTAATATCTGTTATTTGAACGTTCAACCAAAATGTTAATTAACTGTAAATCAAAGTTTACAAATGCTAGCTTACTAAATGTTTGCAAACCTTACTTGAAAGTTAATTGTTGAGTAGTTGTTTCCTGAAACATGAAGAAAAATGTAAATATCACTTATGCTTGACTTTCTAAAAATTAATTAAAAAAACAACCTTTTAAAGCATTTTTGTCTCTAAATACTTTTGGTGAAACCAAATCAAAGCAAGATAAATTATCGATGTACGCCATTGTTGTAACTTTCAACGTGTTCATATTATTTTGATAACTTAACATTATTGGAATTTCTATTGGAAAACTCTCTAGACATCTTCTATTCTTTAAGTTTAATGTAATATTGATTGTAGTTTTGTTTTCAAAATATCCTGAAAACTAAACATTTTTTAAACTAACATAAAAAGTTTTAATGAAAAGCTCAGTAATTTCAACATCAAATTTATGTTATATTCAGGTATGCAAATGATTGTATAAAATAAAAAAAAAGGAAAAAAATTTTATAAAGATTTATTATCGTTTGAGTGAGAAAAACCGATAAACTATAAATATGATAACTATAAATATATTCTTTTATATATATATATATAATATATATATAAAAGAATATATTATATATATATAAAATATATATATATATATATTTTATATATATATATATATATATATATATATATATATATATATATATATATATATATATATATATATATATATATATATATATATATATATATATATATATATATATATATATATATATATATATATATATATATATATATATATATATATATATATATATATATATAAACTTATATTAATTTTAGCAGAAGAATGCAGAAGCTTCCAGAAATTTCCAGAAGAAGCATTTGGAAGCATCCAGAAGCATCCAGAAGTATTCAGAAACATTCAGAAGCAACCAGACGCATCAAGAAGCTTCTAGAAGCATTGAAAAGAAGCATCTAGAATCTTCCAGAACAGGTTCACACAGGTTCAATTTTCTATATAAGAGACGTGTAAACCGAAATGTAATTCAGTATTATCAAGACAGTTTATTGAAGTGAGTTTTATCAAAGCGTTTTATAGAAGAACATTTATACAAGAAAGGAAATACAACAAGTGTTTCATTACATCAATACAGTCCACATTCAATCAAGACGTTGTGTTCCACAGAGCATTTTTGTATCATCACAAGGTAAATGTAACACGGTAAGCCTTGAGAAGCGTGATTATTTATTTTTATTACTTTCATGACTTCAAGTGCCAAAATGGCTCCCGTCATTCTTGGATTGGAACTTAGAAAGAAAATTAGGCAGCAGATAACAAAGGAGGAAGACCGCGTTCCACCACTTCTAGGGAGGACTCTATGATTGTCTGATCCGTCAAGAAGGGTCCTTGGACATCATCAGTCAAGATACAAAAGCAATTAGAGTAAATTAAATAAAAGTAAAGACTGCAGCTGATCAAACAGTTTATAATATTTACAAATGGATTGTGAATCATTAAGTAAGAGACTATTTAGTTGACATTGGTGTATACACAAAAAATTTAAACACTGATTGGAAAGGAAGTATTATATACAAGCATAAATTGGATAAAAAACTAATTTGGATAATTTGTGCTCTTCATACAAATGAACTACCTCTTTGACATCTTATGATTCAGCATGACGGAAAAATCGTATCTAAAAATAACTTTTCTGGCTCTATTGGTAAACTTATAGGTGAGGCAACTAGCTTTAAAGTTGAAGATATCATAATAAAATTTAGTTTCCTTATGCAATAATAAAACTTGACTCTGAAATTGTAAAATCACTATCAAATGATTAAAAATGTCTTTATCAAATTACCCATGAAATTAACGCTGTTTTTTTTCCGGAAAATAATAGAGGCAAAGAAATTGGGCCACATTCACAAGATGGTTGGATTTCGCAAATAAAATATGTTTACTTTGGTGTTCCGAAATCGTATTTTTAAATGAAGAAATATATAATCTTCAACTTTTGGTGGAGTTTATTGTTGTTGTTTATGCGCCACTTTGCTTTGAAATCAAAGTAAAGTGGGAGTGGACTGAAGGACTTAACCATCTACTCAAGCAATAAAAACTTCTTTTTCATAAAAGAATTAAAATTAAAGACATTGTAATGCCCTATGTTTTATCTTCTTCATGCAATGCTCATAGTGAAAATGTTCTTCATGCATTGTTATTAGTCTAGAAAAAAAAAAAAAGACAGTTTGCAGTTGAAACAATTTTAAAATTAAGATTAGACTTAGAATACGGAAACACTAATGTAAGAAGTAGAAAACGTCATATACATAATGAAAATGCTGAATCACTTTTTGATCTAATTGGTTGTACACGAACCTTTACTTACACGTTTATTGTCAAATAATTGACTTTTAAAATACAATGATATTCCGATGTATGTACCTTGTTTTTTCTGTTCATTGGCAAGCTATTGTATGATGTGTCGAAAAAGTCACAAGAGTTCTTAATCGGTATTTGGAAAAGATAGAAAAGATGGGTTCATCAGAGCAACATTAGCACATCGAGATATTACGCCCGTAAACCAATCAAAAAAAACCTTTTTTAAATTAACTTAAGCAATATGAATTCTTGTTGTTGTTTTGTTTTGGATTATATTTATGATCTCACTAAATAAGTTGAGCTTTAAATATATTGTGTCTTTTAAATGACATTTCATTTAGGACTAATAAATTTTTAATCCTTCAAAAAGTTTATGATTTATTTTAAGAACTATCTTATTTATTATTTACAGAGTAAATAATTTTTTTTCCTCTACTAATATCCTAAAGCAAACACTTTATACTTATGTATAAGTTTTTGTGTGACTTTATGAACAGTAGCACCCGAAAATATTTGTTATTTTAATGTCTATATTATACCTAGTTATTTTTTGATGGTTGTATCACCATAGGTTTATAAAAAAGGGTGGAAAAGTGCTAATTTGATGCTTTTTTAGTAAGACAGTCATTTTAAACCGCCCTGCACCCTCACAAAACCAACATTTTTTTGAGAAAAAAAAAATAATTCACGTCTTTTCTAATATCCTAATACATAAAAAAAACTGCACGCAATACCATTTATAAAATTTACGTATAGATAATTTTTTACGTATAGATAACTTTTCTTACATCTACAGTGTTTTATAGCGTTAAGAAAAGTAGTACCGTATATTATGTTTTATATTTATGTCTATATTATGTCTGATTGTTTATTGATATATGTCTTACCTTCTGGATAATATAAAATATGCCAAAAAATGCTACTATGATGAGTTTTCGTAAAACTGATATTTTTCAAACACCCTGCGCCCAGACTAGATGAACTTTTTAATGAAAAAAAAATTATTCACGTCTCTTCTAATATCCTAATACGCAAAAAAATATTTCGCGCGCTCTCATATCCAAAATTTTAAAAGTACCCTAGTGCCCATTGCACTTCCAGCTAACCAACCCAACTGGGTGCCTGCTGGAATTAACTGGGATTACTGGGATTGGGTTTGGGCTGGGATTTGTTCTGGGTGCAGGATGGGTCCCATATAATGTAAAAACAATGCCGCAAATAAAATTTGGTAATTTACTGGGATTAGCATGGGGCTTCCATAAATGGTTTACGGCTGGTTTGAAGATAGGACGCGTTGTTTAATGGTAGCGTGTATTTTCTCATCAAAGCAATTTTTTTAGCATTGTTTTTATTGAAAAGTTTTGTTGAAATAATATTACTAAAATCTTTTAAAATGTCACATGCAGTAACGCGGCATTATTTAGATTTAATATACATTTGCATTTAAAGTAAATATCCACACGAACTTCATTTGGATTTTTTGTTGAATTTTGTAAAAAAATATTTACATATCAGTTTTAATTCTGCACTAAAAGTGTAAATATGTTAAAATCAATATTTCACACACCAAAAAAAAAAAAAAAAAAAAATGACTTGCACTCAAATTTCTCAGAAGCCTTGCATTTAAAAAATTTGAGAAATGAAATTTTATACTGAAATTCAGACTGAATTTCTCAGCTATTATTACGTTTGACATATGTCAACGTTTACTCTTTTTTTTGAATTGTTAAATTTTTTATTGAGCTTAAGGCATATTCTGTAATTATGCAATGAAGAAATGTTAAAAAATAGTTTATATGGTTTAGTGTGCTTACAGAAGTGGCATAATGTATTTAGTTTTAGTTTTTTTTTCAAACAAATCTCATAGACTTTTTGAAAAATCTTTGAATTTGCAATGTTTTGTAAATTGACTTAGGCAAATTTTTTTTACAAAGTTTTACTATGTAGCGCTGCAGTATGCAAACTTTACATATTATTTATTTTTACATAAATCATTTAAAAAGTGGTTTATGTATTTATAAATAACTAGCAGTAAGCAACCCGTAATACGCGTTGTTAGTAAATAAAATTTAAAAAAAAACCGCGTATAGAAAAGCCTAGAAACTACTTTAAAATAGAAAAGCCTAGAAAATGACGTAACTCGACTAATATTAAATTAGCGTATTCATATTATCAGATAAGTTTTACATACTTATAAAAAAAATTAAAATCATGCATTTAAGTGTAAGATTTTACATATTTTATAAGTAAATATAATTAATATATTTTTCATAGTATAAGTAATATATTATCAAATATATAACTTAAAGAAAATGTTAAATCTTACATTTATTTTATGCATTTACAAATGATATATAAATTTTTATATCCATTAATCAATCAATATATTTTTCTGAAATATTTGGTATTACACTTTAAGGTTGTTTGCAAATAGTACAAACTAGTAATATTACCTAAACACCTAATGATATGATTAAAATAGTAATGGCAATAAAAATAAAAATAATATTTATAATAATAATAATAAGATGTTATTTTAACAATAGTAATAATAAAATAGTAATTGAAATAATTTCAATAAATCGGTATAATTTTCCATAAAACAATTGTTCTTACAGTTACCAATAGTAATAACCTGACAAAACGTAACAACTAACAATGACATAAAAATAACAACTGCTAAAAAAAATTATAAAGATTTAGTAAATATATTTTTCTTATATTATAATAACCGAAATATATTGCAAATAATATGAAAAAGTAAATAAACAAAATATAAACAAAAAAACACTGAAAATGAAGACAAGACAAAAGCTACAACAAACACCTTACAAGCAAAACAAAATATTACGTTATTTTGGCAATAAAACAACATTAACAACAAGAAGAAAGCAACAACATAAATTAAAAATATATAAATTAAAAAAAACAAAGAAGTAATAATAATACACGGTAGAATAAAACATATATAATAAATAATTAATAAGAAAATAAAAATAAAAGTTAGA